TATATATATATATATATATATAAATATATATATATATATCAAGATGCTCGTGCACACATTGTAAATAGTAAATACTTGAACAGTTCTTGGAGTGGACTGGCATGAGGAGAGGGTTGACAGGAAGTGACCTCACCAGACCAGGAAGCTCGCAGCACTTGTCTCTGCTGGCCCACGACGTGCTGCACACGATGTCAAAGATCTGAAGCTGGAACTGCAGAAGAGGAGAAACACAAACTTCATTCACAAAACCACCAAAATATATGAACTTTAGAGGACTAGATGCATTCAACGTCCCACCAACAGTTCAGTCATTGAATGAAAATAAAACAAACAAATCTCAAAGTAATCAATAACTTTTTATGTGAAACAAAAATCACAAGAACCTCTCATAGCTGACTCAAAGAGCTGAGACGACACAATCTATTCACGTTTAAATGTCAAACAAACCAACGGGTGAATTCAGACGAACATGTGAGGGTATGTTTTATTTCACACGGCTTAAACATCACTAATGATCTCTGCAGCAGCTACAGATCACCCGAGGTGGTTCAGTGTCGTGCAAAGAAGAGTTTTAATCATCGTTCCCGCCCAAAGAAGCAGTAAACCTCAGTTTTACATCTTCCCTTTGAACCTTTTCTTTACAACGATCTGTGTTTTCAGCTTTGTCTAATTAGGCCTGGTGAATTCTGGTGATTCATGGGGCGTTCAAACACAGTGGGAGATTATAGGATTCACCGTTGAAATATATTCAAAGAACCAAACGAGAGGAGAAACATCCAGCTGCTCCTGCAGGCCGAGTGTTCATGAAGAGCAGCTACATTCTGCTTCCTGCAGGTCCGAAGGACCATGATGCATTGCGAGGCCGCCTCGTTAACGTTCGTGCAACGAGCACGATCGTCAAAAAGAAACGATTAGCAGCTGAGATAACGGCCTCTTCAGGGGCAGGTATCTCGCCTCGGATCAGTGTGTGTTCTTTTGGGTCACTCACACAACTGTGACGCAGATTATGTGACACGCAAGTGGAATTGTTGAGCTCGGTCGATGTCGAGGGTTTTTCTCTTCAAAGAGGAGATCGAACCAATCAGACACAAACGTCGGCCGCGCTGCTGTTCCTGGAGGAGAGACGCTGGGAATGGATTTGTTTGCGTTCATTAAGCCGCTCGGCTTTGATGAAATTAATTCAAACGGATGAAACGATGCATCAGTGTAAGATAAGAAACTGTTCGCTTCCTGCGGTCACTAATGTGGCAAAGAAGAAGTCAGTTTGGCCAATCAGAAGGAGGGAGGTTTTATCTCTTATCTCTTATTAGTGTATGGATCTTTTTAGCTGACATGCTTCTCTTTGGTTTCATTTCACTTTAAAAATCCACTTGCAGAGACTTGAAGCCGGCTCTGCGTTGGTTCCTCCATCACACTGAACATTTAGCTGCTTTTCATTTGTTTGTCCTCGTATTTAAATGACTGCTGTGCAGCTGTAAGCAGGACCTCTTCTCTTCAACAATAAGACACCAGGGGGTCAACTACAGACGGTCAACAAACACGAGACAGTTACAGGTGAACAGATCAGATATTAAGTCATTATCTTAAGATCAGACTCAGGAGTAACGGTTTGTCATTTTTAAGGTTTTCATCTTCTCATTTTATTTTACTGGCAGAGATGGGCTTCCACACTCTGTGTGTGTGTGTGTGTGTGTGTGTGTGTGTGTGCGCGCGCGTCGTCCTCACCGGCGCCGAGTTGTCCTTGTTCCCTCTGGACCGGACCATCCTGCCCAGGACCTCCAGTCCTTCGATGGTGATGTTCCCCGCCGCGTTGATGCTTTTCTCGGCCATGGCGCTGCAGTCGATCACCACCTTGGCGCTCGTCTTGCTGATGGCGATGTGAAGCTGCATGAGAGGAAACAAACCCACACGTTCAGTGCTGAGAATCTTATATAGAAAAATGCATACACCAAAAACTGACAACATAAATAATAATGTGCAATATATATATCAACGTATACTACCGTGTGATGCGGTTATATTTCATATTTCATATGTGCAACGATGTGAACTCAACCATTCGGTCCGATTATATCTTGTTTTAATATAATAAAGGATAATCTTATCTTATTATATGATAACAATAACAAACACTGTTCACACAGGAAAAGCAGCAACGTGCTTCACAACCGGGGAAAATAGACAAAGAATGAAATAAGATGGAAAATAAAACATTCTTGATAAAATAATAGAAAGATTAAAAAACAAGAATAAAGCCACAAGCGGCCATGACGGGGTTCAGCAGAGAGCTGCTCTCAGGCGTCACAAAGTCATTTCTTCTGGTTTCATTCAGTCTGCAGAACTGAACTGAGTTCAAAAGAAGCAGAACTGAGAACAAATACTTGTTTCATGATGACGACGTGCAGCCGGCATGTTTCACAGCTTAGTCACAAAGATCCAGCATGTTGGGTGAAGTTTGGACAGACGTTTGCAGCTTTAGCACCATATTTGAACCCGTGCACATGATCTGAACCGGTGGCGCCCCCTATTGACTGATTCCAGAATAGTTCAACATCATCAGCATGAAACATATCATGTGAGTTTAGCATTGATCGGACAAACAGTTACTGATATACTGTCTGATTTGTGTTGAGTCATGCTGTTGTTGTTTTTTTGCATCTGTAGCGCCCCCTGGTGGTCCAACCTCTCAGGATACGTTTCCGGTTCTCTTGTGGAGATACCCTGCACGTTCTGGGATTATTGACGATGGTCTAGTTAAGTGCTGAGTCATCTTTCATACAAGGAATGCTGCACAAAATGCTTTAAACTAAATAAAATGCACAAAGCAGCAGCATCAAAAGCTCTCCTCCTCTTCTTATCTTTCCTACATCAGTGATGCAGATGTCAGGTTTTAAGAGACTATTTCCCTTCAAATGAACCGTCTGCTGTCTGTTGTCTGCTGTCTGTTGTCTGCTGTATGTTGTCTGCTGTATGTTGTCTGCTGTCTGTTGTCTGTTGTCTGCTGTATGTTGTCTGCTGTATGTTGTATGTTGTCTGCTGTATGTTGTCTGCTGTATGTTGTCTGTTGTCTGCTGTATGTTGTCTGCTGTATGCTGTCTGCTGTATGTTGTCTGTTGTCTGCTGTCTGTTGTCTGCTGTCTTTTGTCTGTTGTCTGCTGTCTGTTGTCTGCTGTATGTTGTCTGCTGTCTGCTGTATGTTGTCTGCTGTATGTTGTCTGCTGTCTGCTGTATGTTGTCTGTTGTCTG